AACACAAGATTTCAGGCGAGAACAGCTGCTGGGAGAAAGGATAGAAGGAAAACATCCAGGGACGGGCTAGGAAGCGCAGCGTAGAGGGCACAGCCTGATCACCAAGAGAACGCATGGCCCAGAGTAGGAACTGAGAAACCGGAAGAAGATGGAGGGAAGATGGAGAGAAGCAGATGAGTGGAGCCAGCAGAGAGCAGGCTGGGACTGACCCCAACTCACCCGCAGCTGCCCGGGACCCCAGGCTCGGGACGAGAGGCAAAAGCTGCACCTGTGGGCAGCCACTCTTGCTGGAGGGCACGGTCACAGGTTAGCCCCTGCAGGAAGAGTGAAGGTTAGCCCCTGCAGGTTACCCCCCACACACACACACAGGAAGGATGCTGTTAGCGTCTCAGCTCACTGCTCACCCCACCGGTTCCTGCTCCTGAACCTCTTCTCAGGGTGTCTATCTCTCTGGGTGGTCTAGGGTCTCCCATTGGGAACCTCCGGCCTCTTACTCCTCTTCATATTCAAAGTGTGGAAACCCTCAGCTCTATCTGGAATCAGCCTGCCTGGCCTCTCCATCCTGCCAGGTCAGACGGGCAGGGCTGCAGAGCTGAGGAAGCGGTGTGAGGTCTATACCCGCCGCCAGGGGGAGCCTCAGGCTCGGGGAGGCCGGAGTCTGATAGGGCCTGCTGACTTCAGGGAAAAGGAAACTCAAGCAATCATCACCAAGGCCTGTGGGAAAGTGGCTGCCATTGCTGGGCCATCTTGGTACCATCTTGGCTGGAGCCAAGGAGAAAGACCTGAATGCTGGCATGCAAGAGAATGTTAGGGCGGGCTCAATTTCTCACCTCCTACCGACAATGGAAGCAGGTTGTGGGAACCAGGCATTTTTTTCCTGAGAGGCTGCCTAGAGGGAGATACCTTCCAGAAATACCATGCTGTTGCCTCCATTAGCTGCATGATCGCAGGACATGGAATCATGCCTAAGAGCCAGCATGTGCTCAGCAGAAGGGGATAGTGTGTGACCCCCACCCCACTCCAACACCCACCCCGTGTACAGAACTTCTGACCTACTATCCTGACCCACGAAAAGCAGAAATCCATTCCTATTTTCTTTCATTCTAAGTAGGCTTTAAAATCTGCTTGGGTGAGTTTCTCATGGCTGCTCTAACAACTCACAAGAGACTTAGTGGTTTAAAACTCGACTTGCCAGCCAGGTGCAGGCCTTTAATCCAAGCACTCAGGAGGCAAAGGCAGGCGGATCTCTGAGTTCCCAGCCAGCCTGGTCTACAGAGTGATTATCAGGACAGAGAAATCCTGTTTCGAAAAGCCAGGAATAGCAATAGTAATACTAATAGTAATCAGTCAAACCAAAACCCCTCTGACTTCCCATTGATGAGACTGAATGAGCAAAATGTAATGCAGCCTTCAACAGGAAGAATGTCTGACACTTGTGTCCTCCATCAGAGATGAAGTCTGACGACATCCTCGTAAGTGAGGTAAGCCAGGCATGAGCTTAGGGTGATCCCGAAGAGGCCGGTTTCCCAGAGACAGACGAGAAAGCAGCAGCAGCCGGGAGGAAGAAGGGTAGAGTTTAATACATGATGAAAAGATTTGCTATTCTATCTTGTTTTGTTTTCCTTTTTAGGGCTTCACGTGTGAGTGGCTGCACGTGTATAAGTGCATTGCGTGTATTTCTTGCATGTGGAGGCCGGAAGGGGACGTGGATCCTCTGGTCCAGAATTGGAGTTACAGACCTTTGTGAGCATCCATGTTCGTGCTGGAACTAAACCCAGGTCCTATGCAAGAGCAGCCGCAAGTTCTTGGAAGCACTGAGCTGTCTCTCCAGCCTGCTCTTTAAAGATAAGAAATTACTAGGTAGCCCAGGCTGGTCTCAAACCCTTGATTCCCCTGACTCAGCTTCCTGAGATTATAGGTGTGAAGCACCTCACCCGGGAAGATGCAAAGGCTTCTGGGAATCCATTGCAGAACAATGTGAGTGTGTTTGAGATCACCAAACTGCACACTTGATAGTGAACAGATTGGGCCAGTGAGATGGCTCAGCAAGTAAGGCATTACAGCCAACCTGACAACTTCACTCAGATACAGCTCAAACACATGGAGGGAGAGAAAAGGAAGCCCCAAAGCCATTCTCTGGCCTCCATGGCGTATACGTACCCCCTCAAATAAATAACACATGTGAAAAAGTCCAGTGAGTATGGTGATAACATGTATATTTTCCACAGTAAAAATATTGGAAGTGGGGCTGGAGAGACGGCTCCGAGGTTAAGAGCACTGGCTGCTCTTGCAGAGGACTGGAGTTTGGTTCCCAGCACCCCCGCGGCAGCTCACAACCACCGTAACTCCAGCCCCAGGAGATACGCATGCATGTGCACACATACAGGTAGAGAAAATGGAATGTTTAAGTTAAGCAACACCAGGGAGAACAGCCTGCACTTACAACCAGGTTCCAGGTGGAGAAGATGAGCTGCAGCGGTGGGTGGAGCCACCCGGGCTCCTCTGCCTCCCAGGCTCTGAGCTTCTGTGTTTATTGTGTGGAGGCCACCACCAGCACCCACGCCGTGGGTCACAGCTCGGAGTCCTTGGGACACAGAGAGTACTAACACATTCCTGGTGCTCAGGAGAGGGACACCTGGATGCCACTGCTCAGACTCCACACACCTGCCACAAAGTGGCCCACAGAACACAGCAGCCGCTGTGCTGTCCCTGGCCCTGGGTGCCCTCGAAGCCCATCTCACACCACACTGCCTCCCATCAGACAGCTCCGATCACTCTCTGCTTCTCACAGCAGTGATGACCTCTGCTTCTGTCTTTCTCAGTGCACAGAGGAGGAAGCTGGGAATCAGCACATCACATCACAGTGAAAATGTTTTGGTCTCTGCATCTGGTGAAGACAGGGTTCCTTTGTCCTGTGTGTCCTCCATGGCACTGGGAGCATAAGGAAGCTCTGAGAGGCTGTAGTGGAGTCCCTGTGTGGCAATGCTCACCCACACCCGATTCAGGGGACCAGAGTCGGACCTCTCCTGCCACCACATGGACCTTCAGGATTAAACTCGTGTCATCAGGCTTGGAGGCAAGCACCTCAGATGCATACTCAACCATCAAGCCAGTCCCTGTCAAGTACTTTTACATTTATGACTGCGTGTGCACATGTGCATGCGTGTGCGTGTGTGTATGTGTGTGATGCACAGGGCGCACAGAAGTTGGAGGACCATCTTTCAGGGGCCAATTTTCTTCTGCCTTCATTCAGTTTCAAGGACCAAACTCAGGTCATCAGACTTGGTGGCAAGTGCCAGTCATCTGGTGACCCTGGAAAGACTGTCACCAGAAAGACATCTTAGAATCAAAGTTCGAGCATCAGGGAGGTGGCTCAGTGGATACAGTATTTGCCAGTCAAGTGTGAGGACTGGGGTTTGGATCCCTAGAGCACATGTGAAAGCTGTCCGGACACGCTCACCTGCCTGTGACCCTGCCTGTGACCCTGCCTGTGACCCTGCCTGTGACCCTAGCACTCAAAGGTGCAAACAGGGGTTCCCAGGACTCGCTGTCTGAAACAGTGGGCTCTGCTTGTGACAGACCCCACTTCAAGAAACAATATGGAGAGTCATGGAAGAAAACACCTGACGGCCACTTACACCCCCCACATGCACACACACACACACACACACACACACACACACACACACGCACACACACACATGAAAACAAGATACATCACAACATCACTTTGAGTGACACTCGGGCCTACATCACACGGGACACAGGAGAGGAGGGGTTGGGAGAAGAGGGGTCTAGGATGCTCCTCTTGGCACAGGTGAGCAGTGTTTTCAGTACCACTTTGCAGACAGTAGAGGAACATTTGGTTGCGGGGCACAGGGCCTCATGTAGCCCAGGCTGGCCACAAGCTCAATGAGTAGAAGGGTTGACCTTGAGCTGACCCCTGCCTCCACCTCCAGAGTGCAGGGGTGGCAGGGATGGACTGTCACAAAAGGAGAAATGTACATCCTCCTTGGAAACCTCTGGTCTCCCTGGTATTCCAGAGATGCCCCTGCGTTAACGGTCAAGGTGGCAAACAGCACATGCCACCCACATCCATGGAAAAGGTTCACCATGAGTGGGGCCAAGGGTGTGGCCCTGAGTCAGTCCTTGCCGAGCATGCATGAGGCTGTGGGTTCAATCCCCAGCACTACATAAACCCAGAGGCGGTGGCACACGCCTGTCATCCCAGCGGGCAGGTAGGTGAGGGGTTCAAGGGCACCCACAGCCACACAGTAAGTTTGAGGGTAGCCTGAGCTACAGGAGACTGTGTGTCATCGTGAATCATTGTCTTTGGGAATGGAATGCTGAGTCACCTCTCTGAGCAACATGCTGTCTTGAAGAAGGTTCCAGAAGAGAAGATGACAGAGTGCAGGGAACTTATCCCACCAGCGTGTCTTTGGTGAAGCAAGCCTGGCTATTGTGAGAGCCTAGCATGGTGGTGCATGCCTGCAACCCCAGCATTCCAGAGGGGAAGGGGGAGAAACAAGAACATAGCAACCTGGAGGCCAGCCTGGGCTACCGGAACCCTGTCTCGAAAGGCAAAACACAGGAGAGCATAGAGAAGTCTGCTGCCAGCACCTGGGACCACAGAGAAGAGACTTTCCCAGAACAACCCAGGAAGAGCCCAGTAAAAGCACTTGGCTCCTCACCCAGAGGCAGAAAGCAGTAGCCCAGGCTAGCCCAGCTCTGTAGAGCTGAAATCGTGGTCCTTTGCCATGACAGCAAAAGAAAGACTTGACACCAAGACACACACGACACACCACGGAGGTCTTTCCTCACTGTGTATTTGCAGAATGTTTACAAAAGTAGAAAAATAGACTTTTTGTGGGGTCTGAGTCTGAAGACCCATCACACACGAATAAATACTTTTAAAAGCCACGAGTGGGCTATAAATTAAGGCAGGGGCTTGGCGAGTCCACACACTGCAGAATCCCCGCAGCTGGCAGGAGCGTCCGAGGTCAGGCACACTGGTCTCCGCTGGCCACACACTTCAGGTCCCGGATGAGCAGGCGGAAGAGGTGGGAAGTGACAGAGACTTGCAGGCAGCCTGGGCTCTCCTGAAAGGACAGGGCTGGCTCAGGGGCTGCTGGGGCTCAGGGCTCCCAGGCTCTGCAGACCCCAGTCCTCTCCCACACTCACCTTCTCCTGGGCCTGCTGGAGTCTGTGCAGCCAGCGGGAGAGGCGGTGGCTTGGGGGCCTGGGCTCTGCTGGGGGCTCAGGCTGAGTCTGTGGACAGAGGAGGGGACTGTGAGCCTGCTGCTGGCACGTGGGGGAGCCACAGTGTCTGGAGGCTCAACGTGGAGGGGCCAGGGACCCAGGACTCACACAGGCCTGCAGATTTGAGTGGATGTGGCTCAGGGTGTGAAGAGGCTGGTCCAGGATCCGGCCCAGGGAGGAGTCAGTCATGTTCTCCAGGACCTGCAGTGTCAGGGCCAGCTCAGCCTGCAAGGCCTTGGGGCGCTCCTGGGCCTGAGAAAGAAGACAGGAGAGAGAGCACGTGATGGACCTGGCGTGGGGAGTCAAGGTAGACAGGCGAAGGGGACAGGACAGTGGACAGGGCAAGGGGACAGGGAGAGGTACAGGGCAGGGGACAGATGAGGGGCCACAGCCAGTGTGGTCAGCACATAGATGGCTGGCCCACCCAAAGCAGGCTGTGTCTAGCCCCTGCTCACCTGCAGCTGCCTCAGGTCCCAGGCCCTGGGGAAGAGGCGGGAGCTGCACCTGACATCCTTCTCGAGCAGCCACTCTTCCTGGAGAGCAAAGGCACAGGTTAGCCCATATAGGACGGTGAAGGTTACACCACTGCAGAGGGGCTGGGGGTGGACACAGCAGGAGAAGGAGAGTTCAGAGCCAGGAGGAGAGAGGCTCGCTCCTCCAGGGCAGCAGATACTAGCTAGCCACAGCACTAAGAGCAAGAGATAGCGCAGTTCAGGAAGGATGGAGAGGCTGGGGCTAGCTCACTGAAGGGACTGTGGGAATTAGCTCACTGCAGCAGGGGTGGCAGTCAGCCCACTGAGGAAGGGCTGAGGTTAGCCCACTGTAGCAAGAGTTGAAGTCAGCCCACTGCAGAAGTGTGGAGAGCACGTTCCTACCAGCTAACGTGAGGGGTTAAGCCCAGAAAGGGAGAGGTGGAGGAGGCTAGCGCACACGGGAGGGCAGAGGGAGACTCACTATGGCGTCCTTGGCCTCCTTGAAGGCCTTCAGCTCTCGAGGGGACAGAGACTTGAACTGTTCTATGTGGCAGTCCTTTGCTTCTGGTGGGAGCCTGGTCGCCCTGGGCACAGGATTGGCGCGGGTTCCCGTCAGCACCGCGGCCAGCAGCAGCGGGAGGAGCAGGCGGCCCCAGGCTGTGTCAGAGTGACAGACAGACAGAGTGAGGGCTGGACGGTGGAGGCCGTGCGGACACTCCCCCGCGCGCCAGGCTGGGGACTCACCTGGCTTCATGCTGCTCTCTGGGGTCTGTGAGCGTCTGGGGATTCGGGTGTGCCCTCGAGTCTGTCCCCGGATTCCTCGCGGTCTTGCTCGCTGCGTGTGGCCTGGGTCTTCCTGCGCGGCTCTCAGCCTGTTGCTGTGTCCCGACCCAGCTGTGTGCACATTGCCATCCCTGCTCCATGCTTATAAGCTGGCCTCGTGGGCAGCCCCAACTGATGTAGGAAAAGTGAAAACGAGGCTGGAGATTGACACCCGCCACCAGGGGAGCCCAGACTGGGGAAGCCCAGAGCAGGGCGGGGCTAGAGCAGGTGAGACACTGTAGTGAAAGAGAAAATGATGAGGACTAAGATTACCTGGGAGGTGAGTCAGGAGCGTTCCCACAGGAGGCTGGGAGCAGGGCAGCTTCAGGGCACAGGCTCTGGTCCTGGCTGAGCCCTGTGGCAGATCCCTCTCTGAGGTGTAAAAATGGCAATGCTAAGAGAAATGGCCCTTCACTTTCCTTGTTTGGCGGGATGTGTCGAGGTGACTGTGGCATAGCTGACCCTAAATTTTTCCGGTCTATTTTGAGGTTGAGTCTAGCTCAGTCTGGCCTGGGAGTTCATTTTGTGGTTCCAATTCCTGAATGCTGACATTACAAGCGTGAATCCTCTTGTCTAGTTTCCAAATTGCTCAAAGAGAAAACTAGGTGTTGTGGCGTCGCACACCTTTCCTCCGAGCACTTTGAAGGAAGGCCGAGGTTGGCAGATCTTTGTGAGTTCAAGGCCAGCCTGGTCTATTTAGTGAGTTCCAGGAAGTGGAGGGGTATGTAGAGAGACCCTCTCTAAAAAACAAACAGAACCCTTCAAAAGCCCCCCACTTCATTACAGTTGCTTATTTGTGCTTGTGGGAGTTAGAGGAAACCATTTGGAAATCAGTTCTTTCCTTCTCCCATGGGGGGGGGGGGGGCGAGGTATGGAACTCAAGTTGATCCATGCCTCCCAGCTCCCCCAATTTCTCTGCTTAGAAATATGGTTGGCCAATGGCTTGCTGGGATGCAGGCTGGCTCGTGACAAACCTCTTCATTTGAGGACTGGAAAGATGGTTCAAGGATTGAAAGCAGTGGCTGCTCTTCCAGAGGACTGGGGCTCAATTCCCAGCACCCACATGGCAGCCCACAACTGTCTGTAACTCCAGTTCTAGAGGATCCGACTTCTTCTGGCCTCCATAGGCCCTGCACATAATCTGTGCACAGGCTTACATTCAGGTGAAACATTCTACACATAAAAAAGAAAAAAAAGGCAAAAACAAATAAATCTTTAAAACAAAAAGGTCTTGATTCATTCATTATGGTCACTGTCTGGGATGCCATTCATTATGGTCACTGTCTGGGATGCCATTCATTCGTTATGGCCACTGTCTGGGATGCCATTCATTCGTTATGGTCACTGTCTGTCTGGGATGCCATTCATTTGTTATGGACACTGCCTGGCTAGCGAAGCTTTAGAATGGGAATAACACAAGCCCATAACATAAGCCACTGCCCAGGGCATTTCACCAGACTGCAGCTGTGAGCTGTTGTATGGGGCAGTGACCCTGCACTCTGTGCTGTGTCAAGTACCAAAGAAAGGACATCCGGCCAACAGGGTGATGTGATTCTCAGCCCCAATCCCCACACAGGGAGGCTGACATCGGTGGATCTCTCAGTTCAAAGCCAACCTGGCCTATAGAGCGAGTTCCAGGTAGCCAGCACAATTACAAGAACTCCTGTCTCAGAAAAGCAAAACCAAAACCCACCAAATAGATGGGTGGTGGTGGTGCACACCTTTAATCCCAGCACTGCGAAGGCAGAGGTAGGCGGATCTCTGTGAGTCTGAGGCCAGCCCGGTCTGCAGAGTGAGTTCCAGTATAGGCTCCAAAGCTACAGAGAAACCCTGTCTCAAAAGGACAAAACAAAACAAAAGACAATAACAATTAAAAAACTAACCAAACTAAACCAAAAAAGCCAACAACAACGAGAAAGAGGGAGAGGAATAGAGAAAAGGAAATAAAGCAGGCAATGGGTTCAAGAAGCCATTTTTATCACTTGGATGCCTTGTGGGAAGACCATCTGGTGACAAATCAAAACAGAAGGAGAGAAAGCCCAAAGAGGAACCTTCTAGACTAAGTCACAGGCAGCACACGGTGAAGATCTAGGCAACACCCTTTGTGGAGCACTTTCATATCCGCCTATCAAGGAGGGTTTGTGTCAACACGGTTTTGAAAAGCCAAGGTCATCTCCAGTTGACTGTGGTTAGCCCACCTTTTCAAGGAAAAACAACTGCACAGTCAGAGAGAGCTGTCCAGACCTGCCCAGGGTCACACATCAAGCACAGCTAGAACAGAGCATGGCTGTGTTCTCTCTGAGCCACAGAGAGACCTGCGTGCCTCTCTCCTTTGTGTGTGGTTTGACATCGGGGAACTGGAGATACCTACGAGAAAAAGAGACTTGAGTTTTGACAGTGTACACACACACACACACACACACACACACACACACACACACACACGCAAATCCCCTTCTTTTTTCCCTTCACGATACCAGGGAGAGGTCAATAGTTCAACATCCTGGATAAGGTTTAGGGTGTGGCTCCCTGTTTGCCTAGAAGAAGAAACAAAGATTACAGGAAAATACATCATTTACATATGTATGTATATCTACCAAGACTATTAAGCACCCATTTGGAAGCTTTGCATAAGTGCTACTGCAGTGTTTCTAACCCCTTTGCTATGGAATTATTATTTTAATTATAATAGTTTATTAATTCTTTGAGAATTTTATATAAAATGTTGTAATGATTTTTTACCCCAACCGCCCCCTAACTCCTCCCAGATCCACTCCCCATCTCTCCACTCCAAATTAGTTCCCCTCTCTTTCCCTTTTTTCTTTTCTTTTGTTTGTTGTTGTTTTTCCAGATAGGGTTTCTCTACGTAGCCCTTGCTCCCCTGGAACTCACTCTGTAGACCAGGCTGGCCTTGAACTTAGTGGCTTACAGCCCAGGTGGTGGTACACTGTGAGATGATTGTTCAAGTCCCAAGGCAGTCATGACCCACGGTTGAGAAATGCTGTTTTAAGGGTTATTTAATATTATATCCATTTAGGAGAACAGAATTATCAGGTTTACACCTGGGTCCTGTGGACTCCCCAACCCTGGGTTTTTTGACAGGCATAAGTTTCTTCTGGTGGACAGACCTTATATCCAATCAGGAGTGAGTTGGTTTCCATCATAAGTTTCATGCCATAATTTCACCCATGGGTGTATCTTTGTCGAGCGCTATCGCCTTGCCTGCAAGAACGACACTCAACAGGATTCTTCTGCAGCTATGTTTATTGCGCGGCTCATTACAGCAAGTTGAGGGAAGACCCCGAGGAGGAAAAAGGGCTCTGCTTATATATGCTCAGAGGAGTTGTGTCCGTTACTGACAGGTGCAGCCCACAACGCTCGTAACAGTCACCCCATGACGTGGATCGCGCATCCGCGCTTTGCTGGCTTATGGACAGGAAACCGGCGCCATCTTCGGGAATGGCACCGGTGTAACTCTACATATCTTGCCATGCTGATCGTTATTGTAGGTAACAGGGTTCACAGTTATGCAAGATTGTTCGTAACATTCCCCCCCCCCCCCAGTAGCCTACATTGAACCTTTCGGTACTATGAAGGCTAGTCAACACGGAAGAAGTTTCCTGGGCAGTGCCAACTTCATTTCTCCATGTCCTCTACCAAAGCATGTGGTATGTTCAGCAGCACCTGAGGATCACTCCAAGCTCTGCTGGTCAAGCGCAGCGCCGCAGGCACCCCAGTCAAGGTCATCAGGTAAGTAGTTTGGACTGAGTAGGCGCTGGGGCCACCCGGATAACAGACAGGGGGAGTCTCTTCTGAAGTTTTAGACCCTGAGATAAAAATATCTTCAGGCCATCAGGACACCCATTACCTCAACAAAGACCCAGGTTTAGTCCGAACTGCATCAGGGTTCGAGTGTTACTAAAAGGCTGTCTCACAGTGCTTAGATGATGCCAGTGCCCTGGGGTCCAGCTACTGGTAGTGGAGAAAACCATAGCAACCAGTGTCACCATAATGGATCCATCACCAGAGCCTCCTCCCTCCCCCTCCCCCACTGTAGGATTTGGACCCATCTCTGCTCCTGCAGAAGTCCAGGGCATCAGAGAGACCACAGCCAGGGCCCCTGGAAGCCAGCCCCCTGCCACTGGGGCTGCTGAAGGAGAATCGAGGCTCACAGCTCCAGTAAGAGTCACATCCTGGGACAGAGAGTCTGTTTGGATGGTCTGTAGTCAGCCCAGCATCTTTCTTCCCCTGCAGTGTGACCTCAGTGTCTGGTGCTGTAGCCTGACCTGCCTTTCACTGTTGAGTGGTATACTGTGTCAGCCTTGGTCCCTGGCCCCTGGGTGATGCATGGTAGCTTTGTTAGGCCTCAGGGAGAAATAGTTTGCAGTCAGGCTCCCCCAGCTTGGGTTACCTTTCCCCAACATCACTCCTGGCTAGTCAAGGTAAAGTGGGTTGCGGGGGACTCCCGCAGCTAAGTGAGTCATGGACTACTGCCGGGGATGGGTGGCCCAGCAGCTTATGGCCATGTGTTAGACATGCTGTGTGTGTGTGGAGGACAGTTCTCACCTTTCTGTGAGTTCTGCCCATTGAATTCAGGTCACCAGGCTTGAGCTGTCTTCTGATTGTTACTTGTGCTTGGTGGCATTCCAGTACTGAGACTCACATACACACCACAAGGAAACAAATGTAGTAAAAATTAACTCAAAATATATAAGGGAACTAAGCACAAAAGGCAAAGCTAGGACATTGTGAGCCGATGACACGAGGCTGGGTGGTGGCCCACGCCTTTAATCCCAGTGCGCGGCAGAGGCGGGTGGATCTCGGTGACTTTGAGGCCAGCCAGGACTACAGACTGAGTTCCAGGCCATCAAAGGATGCATAGTGAGACCCTGTCTCAACACCAGTGAGGAGATCAAGCCACCCTGGGAGCAG